GGGGTGTTGGGGACAAATGAGTGCAGGGTGTTGGGGACAGATGAGTGCGGGGTGTTGGGGACAGATGAGTGCGGGGTGTCGGGTACCGATGAGTGTGGGGTGTTGGGGACAGACAAGTGCAGATGAATGCGGGGTGTTGGGGACAGATGAGTGCGGGGTAGAGATAAGTGTGGGGTTTCGGGAAAAGATGAATGCTGGGTGTCCGGTAGAGATGAGTGCGGGGACCGGGTGTCGGTACAGATGAGTGCGGGGTAGAGATGAGTGTGGGTAGAGACAAGTGTGGGGTGTTGGGTACCGATGAGTGTGGGTAGAGACAAGTGTGGGGTGTTGGGTACCGATGAGTGTGGGTAGAGATGAGTGCGGGGTGTCAGGTACCGATGAGTGTGGGTAGAGATGAGTGTGGGGTGTCCAGTACAGATGAGGTCGGGGTGTTGGGGACAGCTGAGTGCAGGGTAGAGAATAGAGATGAGGTCGGGTAGAGATGAGTGCGGGGTGTCGGTACAGAGGAGTGGGGTGTCCGGTACATCTGAGGTCGGGGTGTTGGGGACAGATGAGTGCGGGGTAGAGATGAGTGCGGGGTGTCGGTACAGATGAGTGCGGGGTGTCGGTACAGATGAGGTCGGGGTGTTGGGGACAGATGAATGCGGGGTAGAGATGAGTGCGGGGTGTCGGGTACCGGTAGAGATGAGTGCCGGTACCGGTTGTCGGTAGAGATGAGTGCGGGGACCGGGTGTCAGGTAGAGGTGAGTGCGGGGTGTCGGCTCCGCTGTCAGTCCAGCTGTGAGATGCTCTCCTCCGGCCTCCTCCTCCGGCCCAGCTGTGGCTCTCCCTCCTCCTCCTCCTCCGCTCCGGCTGCCTCCTCCCCCTCTCCATCCCTCCCTCTGTCCTCCAGCACCGGCTGCCATCCTCTCTCCCTCCATCTCTGCCCGGCTCCCCCACTCACAGCCCGACCCGGACCTCAATGACCACACCATGATGACAGGTATCGCCGCCGCCTCCTTCTTCTCCAATGCCTGCCGCTTCGGGGGCTGCGGGCTCCACTTCACTACCCTGGCCGAGCTGATCGAGCACATCGAGGACAACCATATCGGTGAGTGCCCCCCCCGACCTCCGATGAGCCCGGGGTGATCAGGGAGCGATGCATTGTGTGCGGGATATTGGCTGTACAGCCCGGTGCCCCTATGGGGTGGGTGTGTGTGGCGGGGGTGTAGCGGAGGTCCCGGGGATGTCATGTGTGTGACACCCGGGGAGGAGCAGAAGGTGTCCCCAGTGCTGCTGTCACCCTCATCACTGTGTACACTGGGTATATGGCAGCCCAGGAAGGAGGACACACACACACATCTATATACTGTGTACTGTGCACTGTGTGTATATATATGTGTGTATACAGCATGGAGCCGGGGGCGGCCACTGCGTGCTCCCTGTGTGATTATATCCGCTGCCATCACACATTGTGTCGTACTGGGGCTAGGCCGGAGGAGGAGGAGTACCGGGGTGTGTGTGTGTGTGTGTGTGTGTGTGGCCGGAGGACCAGGCGCTGCCCGTTATAAGCCACTACCTGTCACTGTGCACAGCTGCCATGTCTGACGACTGCACACTGCCTGGCTCTCTTCACATGTCTCAGGACTGCACACTGCCTGGCTCTCTTCACATGTCTCAGGACTGCACACTGCCTGGCTCTCTTCACATGTGTCACACTGCACACTGCCTGGCTCTCTTCACATGTGTCACACTGCACACTGTCTGGCTGTTAGCAAAGCTGTCACACTTCACAGTGCCTGGCTGTCATCACATGTGTCACACTGCCTGGCTCTCATCACATGTCTGAGGACTGCACCCTGCCTGTCATCAGATGTGTCACACTGCACACTGCCTGGCTGTCATCGCATGTGTCACACTGCACACTGCCTGTCATCAGATGTGTCACACTGCACACTGCTTGGCTGTCATCACATGTGTCACACTGCCTGGCTGTCATCACATGTCTGAGGACTGTACACTGCCTGGCTGTCATCAGAGCTGTCACACTGCACACTGTCTGGCTGTTAGCAGATCTGTCATATTGCACACTACCTGGCTGTCATGAGATGTCTGAGGTCTGCACACTGCCTGGCTGTCATCAGATGTGTCACACTGCACACTGTCTGGCTGTCATCAGATGTGCCACACTGCAAACTGCCTGGCTGTCATCAGATCTGTCACACTGCACACTGCCTGGCTGTCAACTGATGTCTGAGTACAGCACACTGGCTTGTTGTCATCCTAACTGTCACAGTGCCTGGCTGTCATAAAATGTGTCACAATGCAGAGTGCCTGGCCGTCATCAGATGTGTCACACTGCACAGTACCTGGCTGTCATCAGATGTGTCACACTGCACAGTACCTGGCTGTCATCAGATGTGTCACACTGCACAGTACCTGGCTGTCATCAGATGTGTCACACTGCACAGTACCTGGCTGTCATCAGATGTGTCACACTGCACAGTACCTGGCTGTCATCAGATGTGTCACACTGCACAGTACCTGGCTGTCATCAGATGTGTCACACTGCACAGTACCTGGCTGTCATCAGATGTGTCACACTGCACAGTACCTGGCTGTCATCAGATGTGTCACACTGCACAGTACCTGGCTGTCATCAGATGTGTCACACTGCACAGTACCTGGCTGTCATCAGATGTGTCACACTGCACAGTACCTGGCTGTCATCAGATGTGTCACACTGCACAGTACCTGGCTGTCATCAGATGTGTCACACTGCACAGTACCTGGCTGTCATCAGATGTGTCACACTGCACAGTACCTGGCTGTCATCAGATGTGTCACACTGCACAGTACCTGGCTGTCATCAGATGTGTCACACTGCACAGTACCTGGCTGTCATCAGATGTGTCACACTGCACAGTACCTGGCTGTCATCAGATGTGTCACACTGCACAGTACCTGGCTGTCATCAGATGTGTCACACTGCACAGTACCTGGCTGTCATCAGATGTGTCACACTGCACAGTACCTGGCTGTCATCAGATGTGTCACACTGCACAGTACCTGGCTGTCATCAGATGTGTCACACTGCACAGTACCTGGCTGTCATCAGATGTGTCACACTGCACAGTACCTGGCTGTCATCAGATGTGTCACACTGCACAGTACCTGGCTGTCATCAGATGTGTCACACTGCACAGTACCTGGCTGTCATCAGATGTGTCACACTGCACAGTACCTGGCTGTCATCAGATGTGTCACACTGCACAGTACCTGGCTGTCATCAGATGTGTCACACTGCACAGTACCTGGCTGTCATCAGATGTGTCACACTGCACAGTACCTGGCTGTCATCAGATGTGTCACACTGCACAGTACCTGGCTGTCATCAGATGTGTCACACTGCACAGTACCTGGCTGTCATCAGATGTGTCACACTGCACAGTACCTGGCTGTCATCAGATGTGTCACACTGCACAGTACCTGGCTGTCATCAGATGTGTCACACTGCACAGTACCTGGCTGTCATCAGATGTGTCACACTGCACAGTACCTGGCTGTCATCAGATGTGTCACACTGCACAGTACCTGGCTGTCATCAGATGTGTCACACTGCACAGTACCTGGCTGTCATCAGATGTGTCACACTGCACAGTACCTGGCTGTCATCAGATGTGTCACACTGCACAGTACCTGGCTGTCATCAGATGTGTCACACTGCACAGTACCTGGCTGTCATCAGATGTGTCACACTGCACAGTACCTGGCTGTCATCAGATGTGTCACACTGCACAGTACCTGGCTGTCATCAGATGTGTCACACTGCACAGTACCTGGCTGTCATCAGATGTGTCACACTGCACAGTACCTGGCTGTCATCAGATGTGTCACACTGCACAGTACCTGGCTGTCATCAGATGTGTCACACTGCACAGTACCTGGCTGTCATCAGATGTGTCACACTGCACAGTACCTGGCTGTCATCAGATGTGTCACACTGCACAGTACCTGGCTGTCATCAGATGTGTCACACTGCACAGTACCTGGCTGTCATCAGATGTGTCACACTGCACAGTACCTGGCTGTCATCAGATGTGTCACACTGCACAGTACCTGGCTGTCATCAGATGTGTCACACTGCACAGTACCTGGCTGTCATCAGATGTGTCACACTGCACAGTACCTGGCTGTCATCAGATGTGTCACACTGCACAGTACCTGGCTGTCATCAGATGTGTCACACTGCACAGTACCTGGCTGTCATCAGATGTGTCACACTGCACAGTACCTGGCTGTCATCAGATGTGTCACACTGCACAGTACCTGGCTGTCATCAGATGTGTCACACTGCACAGTACCTGGCTGTCATCAGATGTGTCACACTGCACAGTACCTGGCTGTCATCAGATGTGTCACACTGCACAGTACCTGGCTGTCATCAGATGTGTCACACTGCACAGTACCTGGCTGTCATCAGATGTGTCACACTGCACAGTACCTGGCTGTCATCAGATGTGTCACACTGCACAGTACCTGGCTGTCATCAGATGTGTCACACTGCACAGTACCTGGCTGTCATCAGATGTGTCACACTGCACAGTACCTGGCTGTCATCAGATGTGTCACACTGCACAGTACCTGGCTGTCATCAGATGTGTCACACTGCACAGTACCTGGCTGTCATCAGATGTGTCACACTGCACAGTACCTGGCTGTCATCAGATGTGTCACACTGCACAGTACCTGGCTGTCATCAGATGTGTCACACTGCACAGTACCTGGCTGTCATCAGATGTGTCACACTGCACAGTACCTGGCTGTCATCAGATGTGTCACACTGCACAGTACCTGGCTGTCATCAGATGTGTCACACTGCACAGTACCTGGCTGTCATCAGATGTGTCACACTGCACAGTACCTGGCTGTCATCAGATGTGTCACACTGCACAGTACCTGGCTGTCATCAGATGTGTCACACTGCACAGTACCTGGCTGTCATCAGATGTGTCACACTGCACAGTACCTGGCTGTCATCAGATGTGTCACACTGCACAGTACCTGGCTGTCATCAGATGTGTCACACTGCACAGTACCTGGCTGTCATCAGATGTGTCACACTGCACAGTACCTGGCTGTCATCAGATGTGTCACACTGCACAGTACCTGGCTGTCATCAGATGTGTCACACTGCACAGTACCTGGCTGTCATCAGATGTGTCACACTGCACAGTACCTGGCTGTCATCAGATGTGTCACACTGCACAGTACCTGGCTGTCATCAGATGTGTCACACTGCACAGTACCTGGCTGTCATCAGATGTGTCACACTGCACAGTACCTGGCTGTCATCAGATGTGTCACACTGCACAGTACCTGGCTGTCATCAGATGTGTCACACTGCACAGTACCTGGCTGTCATCAGATGTGTCACACTGCACAGTACCTGGCTGTCATCAGATGTGTCACACTGCACAGTACCTGGCTGTCATCAGATGTGTCACACTGCACAGTACCTGGCTGTCATCAGATGTGTCACACTGCACAGTACCTGGCTGTCATCAGATGTGTCACACTGCACAGTACCTGGCTGTCATCAGATGTGTCACACTGCACAGTACCTGGCTGTCATCAGATGTGTCACACTGCACAGTACCTGGCTGTCATCAGATGTGTCACACTGCACAGTACCTGGCTGTCATCAGATGTGTCACACTGCACAGTACCTGGCTGTCATCAGATGTGTCACACTGCACAGTACCTGGCTGTCATCAGATGTGTCACACTGCACAGTACCTGGCTGTCATCAGATGTGTCACACTGCACAGTACCTGGCTGTCATCAGATGTGTCACACTGCACAGTACCTGGCTGTCATCAGATGTGTCACACTGCACAGTACCTGGCTGTCATCAGATGTGTCACACTGCACAGTACCTGGCTGTCATCAGATGTGTCACACTGCACAGTACCTGGCTGTCATCAGATGTGTCACACTGCACAGTACCTGGCTGTCATCAGATGTGTCACACTGCACAGTACCTGGCTGTCATCAGATGTGTCACACTGCACAGTACCTGGCTGTCATCAGATGTGTCACACTGCACAG